AGGGTACAGGCCGGTCTAAGGGACCCCCCCTTCCCCCGAGTGCACAAATTTTTGTGCATCGGGCCTCTAGTTTTTAATAAAAGAACTGGTTTGGGCCCTATCCAATTTTTCTCAATAGCTAGAGCATTGGCCTGTGCAGACTGAAGGGTCCGGGTTTGATTCCAGTCAAGGGCATATGCCTGGGTTGTGGATTCCATCCCTAGTAGGGGGCTTGCAGGAGGCAGCCAATCAATGATTCTTTCTCATCATTGATATTTCTCTCTCTCCCTCTCCCTTCTTCTCTCTGAAATCAGTAATATATATATACAATAAAAGTGGTTTGGTTCTTTATTTGCAAGTTTGGTGGTGTTTTTATGACCAGAAATATGCTGTAGGAAATTAATTCTTGTTTATATCAGCCTGTGGTAAAATTAGTTTTTGTTATACGTGGTTTTGCTTAAAGTCACAGTTTCCAGTAGAATCCTTTAACTGTGACAACCAAAGCTGTCTATAGATATTGCCAAATGCCACCCCACCCCCCACTCCTGTACCAGGTGGCATCTCCAACTTCCCCAGCTGCCTCACTGGGAGTGATATGGCAGTAGTTCTAGCCCTTGGTTCCAGTACCCATGCATTGTTCTATCATTTGGGTAGACTACAAAATAATATTCACATGGGGTATACCATGTCCTCACAGAGAATGGCACAGGGTATATTCTTTAAGATAACCTTGCAGCTGTTCTTCTTTTAAAAAAAAAAAACACCCTTTGTGGGAAACTGATATAGGGTTAAGCCTCAGACTGACCTGCTGGCAAAGTCACAAACAAGCCCTAGGTTAGAGGGCACAGTCCTCTTAGCATAATTAGGCTTGACCTTATAACACTCCCTAGATCTTATCTGGGAATCTAATGGGCTTAGCATAATTAGGCTTGACCTTATAACACTCCCTAGATCTTATCTGGGAAGCTAAGGGGCTGAGGAAGTGCAGGAAGCGTAAAACCCTTAACTCTACTCACCAGGGACTAGGGGATAAAACCCTTGGTGGGTCTATGGACCAAGTGGACACTCTGTGAGCCAGACCTTGGCCAGGACTTCATTACCGAGTCCTCAGGAACCAGTGTAAGACTGACCTGGGTTATCAGTATCGATTCAGACCTTGTGCTCTAGGTCTAAAATCCCTATTCCCCTTTCTTCCAGTATATAGTAGATGGTCATACATTTCTTTAGAAAAGCGCTGGGGCTATCACTACTGTACAGGCCTGTTGTCGAGTCCTTCCTTTGGGGTGTGAGATGTGTCTCCTGCAGACAGTGGATTCTACTTGTAGACCTGGCTCATATCTGGAAACCAGTCCTGAGAATGTGACATTGTATTGCTGAAGCTGCCCTCAGCATCCTCGTTACCCACCTTCCTTATTTTATTGTACAAATTAAGCAGAATTCCTGTTGGCTTCCCTACTCTCTAGTGCCTCAGAACATTGTGTTCTATGTTTTCAATAGCTCTCTGTGGGTCGGGATCACAGGTTGCCACTCAGACCTTGCTATTCATTATGGTAATTGCTCCCACCTGAATTCCGCTGGTTAAGTGCTACCAGCTGGACTCTGCTTTTTCAGGATCCTGATTCCTCTCAGGGACCTCTGTTCTGAATCAGCATTTTCTACAATGAGCCTCGCCTACAGAGGACAACTACCAAGGGGCTTCTCAGTGATGCGTGCTCACTCCGACATGCTCTTTTCTGCTTTGATAAATGGAGGGTCCTTTGGGCCCTCCCACAGTTGGCTGGGGGTTTTTCCCCCTTATCTAGCACAGCCATTACAGCACACACACCTGCTTGAGCCTTAGAGACTGTCAGAGACTAAATGTTTGCGTCACCACCACCACCACCCCCACTGCCAAATCCACATGTTGAAGCCTTTTCCTCCGATGTGATGCTATTAGGAGGTGGGGTCCTTAGGAGAGAGATTTCGGTGAGATCATGAGGATGGAGAGCTCATAACCGGATTGGTTTTCCTTTGAGAAAAGGAAGAATCATGAGAGCTTCCTCTCTCTGTCGTGTAAAGATGATGTAAAGATATCACAAGAAGGCAGAGTTCTCCAGCCAGGAAGAGAGCTCTCACCATGAAATGAACGTGCCAGCATTTTGATCTTGGCCTTGCCTGTAGATTCAGCCACCCAGTCTCTGGTATTTTGCTCTACTGGCCTGACCAAACTAAGACAGCCCTTCCTCTACCATGTATTTTAGGTCATCGCTTTTCCTCAACTTCCAAGAGCACCCTACTAGCTTACTAGCACTGTGTCGTTTGGGCCTCTGCCAAAATATTAAATCTTATTTTAGGAGAGAACTTTCTGTTATCCAACTTTCTGCTTCTCTCTGTCAGCAGGCAGGGACTGTGCCCAGAGAGGGTGTGCCTCGGGCAGGCCTGTAGTGTGTGGGTTCCTGGCTTCATGCAGGCAAGATTTCACAACAGGAGCCCATGTGAGTTTGAGCACGTGTTTACTAAAGCTGGGGACAGGGAAATGAAGGGAGGGCTTAGGTAGAAGAAGCAACAGGAGAGAGCCTAGGTGGGGCTGCTTTGGCTCCCTAGGAATGTGATAGGGAAGAAGTGAGCCAAGGCGAGGCTGCCATGAGCCCGCTGGGAAGTGAAAGTCACCGCTAAAAAGTGAGCCAAGGTGGGGCTCTGTTAGCTCCATGGAAAGTCAGAGAAAAAGGAGGCCCTGGAGACAGGCTCAGGGTGGAAGCCCAAACAAGCTGACTCTGCCCGCTGATTCCCTGGTTGCAAGTCTCATGGGGACTCTTGGAGCTTAGGAGAAAGGAAGTAAAAAGTTCAAGCATGCTCCAAAGAGAGCCCTCCCAGCATCGTTTGTCTTGAAGGTTTTATCTTTCGTCTGTGGCAAGAGTCATAGGGGAGAGTTTCCGTAGAACATCAGCTTCCCAAGTGCGTTTTTAACAGGCTGATGCATCAGCATGAGTGTGGAGGGGAGTTGGGGATTATCCTCTGGTCAGTCTCACCACTTTATTTTTGTCTTGGGTCTGTCTGGCTCTCATAAGGTTTTTTGTTATTTGTTCCCCTGACTTCACCCGCCCTTGGTTTTGGCTGGCACACATGGTATTAGTTGGGTCTCTTCCCTCTATCTCCCTGACCAGGGTGATTTAAGCTATTGAATCTCTGGTCAGGGAAGAGAGGTAAAACCATTTGGTCGCAAGTGTCCCTGATTAGGGAAGGTAGGCCTTGTGATTCACTGGCTGCCTGTAATTTGGCCAAATTGTTTGGCGTTGTTTCATTATCTCCTCTCAGTTTCCCCATTCCACTTGCCCAGGAATTTTCCTAGCCCCTTACTGTCCTGCCTCCTCTCCTTGATCCTGTGCCCTTAACTGCTCTCTCTTCATTGTCTGGGGTAGCTTCCTAGAAGCGGATGCTTCTTTGGCGGGTAATCCTTTCCTGGCTTATGCCGCATTGACCCCCACTAGGGGTGGCAGGCGGGAAAGTAAGGGTGCATTCTGCAGGGCACAGCATAGTGCCTTGCAAGGCAGGGGCCTCTGCATTGCCTACAAGCAAAGGGCAACACTGATGTTAACTAAGGCACGGGGTGACTTCTGCATGTTCAGGGATTCAGGGAGACCTGGAGTTTCAGAGATCTCAGCCTCATACACCTAGATGCCCCTGTCTCAGATCTCAACTCTCTGCCTTGACAACACCTAATCTCTCTGTTCCAAGCTTGCCAAGGTGTAGACTTCAAACCTCTCTGGAGCTCTCCTACCCTTAGAATTAAGTTCTGGGCCTGGCCGTTTTTTCCTGCTGTCTACCTGCAGGTGATGGGAATCTCTTTAGAGGCAGCCAAAGAAATACTCTGTCACATTTCACCTTAAATGGTGATCATTCACTTCCAGCATGTTTTCTTTCTAATCTTTCAATAGTTCCCAGTAATTGTACTTCAATTGATCCTATGGGAGCTCTAGAGCTGGAGTGGCCCTTCCAAGTCATCCCACGCTGAGGCAAAGCATCTTTTTATTGTTTATAAATAACAGCTTAATAAACCAAAGAAGAATACTTATACTCTTATGACAAGTAAATAAAAATTCAAAATAATATCATTAAAGGGGACTGAAGATGTTTCTGAAGATTTCATAAGACAAAGGAGAGGGTTAGCACATATAAAATACAAATTTATTAAAGTCCCTTTTAAAACTCTTTTGCCCAATATCCCACTCCTCAAATGAGTTGCTACATCTCTCTTGCAGTCTTATTCTGCCTGCAGAATTAACCCTTCTGGAACATTTCCAACAACAACTTGAGCTGAGTTTTGCCTTCTCGTTTGCAACCATATTTTCCAGACTATTTCTTTCTTATAGTTTCGCTCTCTCTCTCAGCTTCTGTTGTTTGCAGGCCCATCCACTGGTCTACTTTACTAACCAAGGATTATCTTTGGGATCCATCTGACTTTGAAGGGTAAGGACTGGAAATAATAAATTCTTTGTGTTTAATATTGCATCCTCTAACATCTGCACACGCTAATTATAGCTCTCAAACGTTGCCCACCAGTAAAAATAAAACCTTTTAGTCTTTTACTTCAAAATAATTAATAGTCCTCATTTCTAAAGGATAAAAATCAAAATTCATCAGTATCAACTTAACCAAAAGTTGTAATGTTATAAACTAGTTTCAGTAGGAAAATTCAAAAGCTATCTCTCAGAAGATGCTGCTTTTCTCACAGCAGAATATTTTAAACAAATGTACATCAAAAATGAAGAATGTAATACCTTCGACAATAAAGATAAGTTTTAAAAATACTTTGATCTAAATAAAAATTAAAATACAGCCTATCAAAATTTGTGGGATGCAAAAAATTAATGTTTTAAGCAAAATTTTATCTTACTCTTTGTAGAAAAAATTGACTTCACTATAAATGTATATTTCAGTGAAGTGGTAGATTATGCAGCAACTCATCTTAAGACCCGTATTTAAGTGGTGATTGCAAATGAGAGTGACACCTCATCTTTTAGATGTTTAAAAACCAGTGTCTGGTCTCTGCCTCAAATACTATCTTAAGTAACCTATCTTATTAGCTAATGAGTGAGCTCAGAATTTTTTATGCCAGGAGAGAAAATCAGAAATTGCTAAACATCAACAGTTTATGTTAGATGGAGTTATGATGCCAGGAGATAATGTGAGAGAATGAGCCAGGTAAATAAGCAGCTCTCTCTAGCATGAGAGTAGGCTGTTTATGAAATGCTCGGAAGGGTTTTTTCATGCCATTTTTCCATCTTTACAGGACCACTGGTAAGCTGCTTTAGCACTGCATTGGACTTGACCAAGGTTTTCTTTCCTGATTTATTTATCAATCCAAAGCCAGCTCTCTTCAGTAAGGAAAATACATTGAAAAGAAAAAAAAAAATCTGTAATATCTGGGACCGTTCCAAAAAATTTGAAAATAAATGTGCAGACTTTGCCCCAGTGAATTGTACTATCATTACACATACAAGGAAAGGATTGCTTCATACTTGATCCACTGCCTGTGTTCTGGTTTTGGCAATAGATTCTAAAATATACCACTTAAATATAATGCAAGCATTCGCCATGAAGCCTGATTATTTAGATATTAACTTCTAAAAGCCTTAGAGATGATGATGCTTATTGGGTTGAATCAAAGTCTAAAGATAAACTCTCTGGAACAAAAATTTCACTCAAATCCTATCAGGCTATTTCATGTATATGGTTATTGCTCCAAACATGCTGAAATTGGGATACATTCAGAAATTGTATGAAATGAAAATTGCTATAATTTCCATTTTTAGCAAAGTAGTATGGCTCTCTGCAGTTACAGATGAAGAAAAAAAAATGACATGCTTACATATCTGTAATAAAATCTCCAAGTTCAGCCCAGTAACAATGAGCAGTTCAGGCTCATTCCAGGGAAGCTAATTGGAGAAGTCCATCAGATGCTTGTTCATGTTTACAAAGCGAGGCTTTTCCATACAGCATTTACTTTGGTTAGGCCTTTTAGGCAAGCGGGAAGATCAGCCCTAGGTCCTCTGGGGAAAGCAAAGTAAATTCAAAATCAAAAACAGAAATTATTCGTTTGGATGCCTCTCTTTCATAAGATATAAATCTCCCCTCCGAGGTTAAACATTAGTGAAGCCTCTACATAAACAGAATTTTTAGTTTTTGCTCTAAATTAAGATTTCATTTACTGAAAGTGATTGCTATAGTTGAGATTTTGGTTAATATTTTATTTTCATTTTATTTAACAAACACTTATATAGTGCTAATTATGGTGCAATCAAGGCACTGTTCTAAGTGCTTTATCAACATTAACTCATTTAATTCTCAGTACACCGAGATCAGCAATAATCCCTATATTAAAGACAAGAAAACAGGCACAGAGCCATTAAGTACCTACCTGAAGGTCACACAGCTAGTAACTGACAAGATGGAACTCAATCCAAGAATTCTTTCTCTCCAGTTCATACTCCTAACCATTACACTGGGCTTGATAGTGGAAAGATAATGCCCAGAAATTATTATATACTTTTTCTTTGCAAATTTATAACAAAAATAAAAAATCGTTTTAAAGGAACTCTATACCTAGTTCTCAATTTCTCTCTCCACTCCTCCTACTGTTATCATAAAGGACCCAGTGTGTTCACTGTTGACCCATAAAACACTATATAGCTTTATGCCCGGCCTGGTTCAGCCACCTAGAAGCCATGCTATTTATTTACCCTCTCTGGGCCTCCATTTGGGTTGCTGGGAGAATTAATTGAATTAAAACATGAAGGGCACTTAAATAATGAGCAGATCAGTATTGCTATTTTTCTTTTTCTTTTTTTTTTCAGGAAAGAAACCACTTTATTGCCAAGAGTGGGTGGGGCAGGAGCCTATTGTCCACCCTATTCTGGACAATAAAGGTGTCCTCAGGGGATGTAGAAACCCCTACTTCAGGGATTGTTGCAAGTTGACTCGGACATTCTAAAAAGCATCATCCTCTCAGATGCCTAGTAGGAGCTCAGTAAATGAATGGGAGTTTCTTTTCTCCCAAGTTCGGGCCTCTTTCTCTCTTTCCTAGAGGATGGCCATCTCACTGGGCTCATTCTTTGCAGTTTTTTTGAACCAATTCTTCAAATGAGTTCTGTTTGAAAATCTAAATTTGAATTACATTGCATCACACACAGAGTAAAGTTTTAAGTTTTAGAGCGCCACCCAATGTGCTGTGCACTTTGGCTCTAGGTTCTTTTCCTGGCTCATGTCCCTAATCTTTCTCATTTGTGACAGTGTTCCTATCACACAGGGAAGTCACTTACCCAAACACCCTTTGATATCTCTGCGCTAGAAAGCATGCTTTTCTTTATGCTTGAATGCTCTCAGCGAGTACTCCTAGCACAGGCCTCATTCAAATTCCTCTATGACCCCATTCATTTCTCTGGAGGCAATTTATTCTTCCTTCATCTGTGCTCCAAAGACACACCACTTTCAATCTTCCAGTAGCTCTGATCACCTTCCGTCATATTTTATAATTGGTTGTATAACTATTTGTGTTACTATGGAGGGATTAAATGCCCTCTATACTCCTCTATACCAAGAAAAATGCCTTTTACGTAGTAAGTTCTCAAACATTTACCATATGTACAAAATATGGATTGAATATTTAATTTCTCAAGGACAATTTGCAAAAGGTAGCTATGTCAGAAATACAGAAGGAAAATAAAAACTTAATATTTACATTAGAAAATTGGTTGGCATTCATTTTCTAAAAACAAATTTGGAAAAAAATAATAGAAAGCAGATACTCAGTTAATGGGAGCAAGATGGAAAATGCTATTGCCAAACTATATTTAAGAGTAATCAAGTCCTCTAAATTGAGCATAAGTCTGAAGCATGATCAAGTTAACAAAAAAGAAAAGGCCAGTGTTATTTTGACTGAATTGAAAACAGAGTGTGGGGAAATTTGTATTCTTCCCTTGAAAAACAGAGTGACTTTATTCCTTCCATTAAGCCCGTTCTGAGCCAAAGCTTAGCCAATGCTTTATCAATACCTCTTCCATCATTCATTTATCCCTTGTTTCATTCCTGCCTAGCTTTGTTCTCTGGTAAGTAGTTGTTTATGCACCTTAAATTTTAATCAACATAGTGTAATAGCTCTCCTGATATTAAATGCATATTTCATAGAGCTTTTTGGGTTTAGATACTTGATTAAAGATAAATTAAGGGTTGAATTTCCCTTATAAGGAACCATGCAAGATAGTTGGTCTGTCAGCACATTAATTAAATATCTAATATATGTCAACTATGATATGATGCAGCATTATCAAAAGAAAGACCTAATCATCATCTACATGGAGTTCACAATGAAGCAGGAAAGGCAAATAAATAAATGTTAGTGAAATAAATGTTATAGACTAATACTGTGTATTAGCAAAACTACAGCTTGTTTATCTACTTAGGAATAAGAAAGGTATTCCTTAGAAGGGATATGTAAGCCTAGCCCTAAAACACAAATTTTGTTTAGCTGAACATGGTAATAAAAGCTGGGGAGATGTATTTTTTTTATTGAAGGAGAGTGGTCGAAGTAGTGGAATAACATGTGTGTAGACTGCAGGTAAGAGAACAATGAGTGACTGTAAAAGAAACCAAAAAATGTTAGCATTTGTGCAAAGGGGGCAATGAATGAAACACAGTAAGTAAGGCTAAAGATAAGGGCAAAATAATTTCAGGTTCTCTAATTGACTTCAGGATTTTGGACTTGATCCCAGGAGCTCTACTCTCTCTCCTCCTATAAAGGAGGATTCTTCCTGCAGTTATAAAAAGCCATTCACTCTTTTTAAAGGTATATACATTTTATTAATAGTACCCCAAATTTAATGAAATAGCGTTATCTTAAGGAAAAGCAATCTAGTCTTCTTAAGCACTGTATACCATTTCCTTTAGCATACCAAAGACATTGTTCTTGCGATCACATATACTCTCTCTCCTGAATCATTTTTCCCTACTGAATTGTTCTTATAAAAATATAAATATACCGTAAGAAATCATATATTTTTTTAAAAAACCATTTCCCACCAGACCATCTTCCCTGCCTCATTTCTCTGGACCCTTTATAGAGTATCTCACCAAAACTAATGTCTGTACTGTCTCTACTTTCTCACATCTTGCATCAACATAATCCATTTTACATCGTCATAATGTTATCAGGACTTGGTCCTCATGCTACACTAAACGCACTTTGGCAAAATAACCAGTGACCTTTATCACATGCTCCAGCTGATTCGATAGCATTGAAGGAGCCTGCATCTCACACACAGCAGAGATTAGTCTACTATCCGATTCCTAACTTTAGAGAATACACATCAAACTCTCTGTGGTTTCATTGAAACCACGTTCACACCCTGGCCAGGTGGCTCTGTTGCTTGAGCGTTCTCTTGCACACCGAAATGTTGTGGGTGCGATTCCCAGCCAGGCATTCAGGGCACATACCCGGATGGTGGATTTGACCCCTGCTCAGGGTGCTTCTGGGAGGCAACCGATGGATGTCTCTCTCTCTCACATCGATCTTTCTCTCTCTCAAATCTAGAAACATATCACATATCTTTGGGTGAGGATTACAAGAAACAAAACCATGTTCACTAATCTTTCAGTGAAAAAAGTATTGGGGCTTATAGCACAGCAACAGCTACCTTTAAAAATTCTGTTTTATTCTTCTTTAATCTTTAACTCCTGAGTTTTTAATATCCTAGACCTGGGTAAAGGCTTAAGAGTTTTCTGACAGGTTTTCAGCCACCCACATTTGACAATTCGGTATAGTTTTTTCACTTTGGGATGTATAATCTCTGATCTTAATGGCTCAGATAAACTGAGATGAGAAAAAATTCCACTTCAGTATCCTCATGTATCTTGAGATAGATCACAGTTTTTCATTTAGAACAGAGAATCAGTCCACTTTGGGACTCTCAGTTCAAAATGCCTTAGGGACTCTTTCCTTTGCAATCCTGAAGTTGCTAGGCAGTTAGTAGTTGAGAAAGTTCCAATGTGCATTAGTGTCCATGGTGAGGTCATGCTTTCTTTCCTTAACAGAAGGGTTCCCATTATAGGTTCACAGAGAACAGCACGCTTGCCTTACTTGCTTTTCACCCAAGTGCAGTAGAAACATCGAGATGAAAAATAAGAAAATATGGCCATTCTGCTAATGCATATAAGAGAATCATTTCAGTCACATGGTGTTGGGGACCAGGTGTAAGCTGACAAGGTCCTTGCACCTGAAGGGGCTAGCTAGCAAGGCTGGGACCCTTACCCACACAGTTTTCCCAGACTTGTTTGGATGGCGGTTATCAGGAGAATGAGGGCAACCTTTGTAGAATGAGAGCAGCCTTTCATGGCTTACCAAGAAGTCTGTAACTATTTACTGAGATTTGCTGTACCGAGAATTTGTCCTTCTGCTGTGTCTCTCCCCTAGAGATTAAGAGGAACAAAGAATACATTCCTCTTGACAGACCTCCTATTTCGTGTGTTGTGTATAAATAGGATTGTGTGGCTAATAAAGTTGCTACAGTTCCTCAAATGAGCTGCAGTCCTCCCGATCCCGCTTTCCTATCTTCCTTCTTTTCTCAATTCCCACCTTCCTGCCTCAGCCCGGCTCAACCTTGTCAGGCTGGCCCTGACAACATGGTTAAGCACATAATAGACTGAACTTCCTAAACATGTGCAAATCTGCTTTCTGTGAGAGAGCCAGGTCCTCGTATGTAATCTTGGTGAAAAAAGACACACAAAACAAACAAAATAACCCTGCAAAGTAATTTATACAAAACTGAAAATAGCCCTGGCTGGTTTGGCTCAGCGGATAGAGCGTTGGCCTGCAGACTGAGGGGTCCCAGGTTCGATTCCGGTGGAGGGCATGTACCTGGGTTGCGGGCACATCCCCAGTAGGGGGCGTGCAAGAGGCAGTTGAATCAATGTTTCTAACTCTCTATCCCTTTCTGTCTCCCTTCCTCTCTGTAAAATATCAATAAAATATATTTTTTTAAAAAAGACTGAAAATATTGCAAAGAAAAATAAAATAATAAATAAAAGTAAGGATGTTTCACTTTACACTCAAAGAAGATGGCTCAGCTCAATGATTTTCAACTGTTTTTTCTCAATAGTAAAGATCACTGTATATTGCAGTATGGTTTACCATTTCTCGGATAATAGAAACAAATGTGGAATAATGTAGTAAGTTATATATTTTATATGTAAAAGTATAATTATTTTACAAGTTAGAAAATAAGTCTTATTTAAAAACAAAAACAAAGAACATCATTTTCCCCCAGCTGGGACCGCTCAGCTGGTTGAGCACTGTTCTGTGCACCGAAAGGTTACCAGTTTAATTCCCTGTCAGGGCACATACCTGGTTTGCAACTGTGATCCCCAGTCGGGAGCATATGGAAGCCAACCAATTGATGTTTCTCTCTCACATCAATATTTCTCCCTCTCACACCTATTAAACAGTGTTGATAAATAAACAAATCACACCTTTACATATGAATGGAGTGAAGGAAAGAGGACACTTACTGCATTCCAAATGCTCATTGTCCAGTTGGTACTAGAGAAAAAAAGGTTTTGTTGGGAATTTTAAAGTTTAGAACACATGGGAGAAAATATGAGAGGTTGGAATTTCTAGCTGAACCCTAACCTTTAGGTGTTTGTCTTTGTTAATTCTTGGCAAAATACAATGGTAGTTTAGAGATAAAAAGGTTTGAACGGGCTATTAAAATCTTGAACTTCAAAGAGCTTAAAGTAAACATTTTCACAATTTCAATCCAAATGACTGAAAGCATGTGTGTT